GTGTGTGTGTGTGTGTGTGTGTGTGTGTGTGTGTGTGTGTGTGTGTGAAATTTGAGTTCAGATCTTTACTTCTTTCAGGCACCACTACTGGTGAGCATTAGCAAAGGCTCCTCACAGCAGTTGGCTTCATCTTCCCACATGATCACACAGAGCATTTCAGAAACCCAGATGCACAGTCTTAATCACCAGCCTGGCATATCAGTGGAGGGTCAGCAGCATGCTGACGGCGCGACGGCCCCATGCTCACATTCCTTTATTCTGGGGACTTTTATTGATTTCAGCTTTTGAAATGTTCTTCGCCTCCAGCCTGGAATTCAGACTCCTCTCAGACACCCTGGCGAACTGCATTTCTAAACCAAAGGGACACAAACTTCTGACCTTTCCTGCTTTTCTCAAAACAAAGTTTAAAGTTGTCATCCAATAAAATATTCAACAGCATTGCTGTGGAAAGAAATTTATGTAATTCCTTTCCTGGATTTAACTAATATTTCACGCCTCCTTTTTTTTTTGATTAGAAGTTATGACATGGAGACTCAGAATACACAGTGAAGCAAACCTCTCTGGAGCTCTTCTTCTCACTGCTGAGAGAATAACTATAAAAGCCGACAATGGCCAGTCTATATGACAGCAGGAGCCAATCACGCAAGCTCAGCAGCAGGCAGGAGAGGTCAGGACTAAGCAATTACCAGTTTTTCTGATGTTTGCTTCCTCATTCAAATCAAAACGACTCGTGGCAAGCCAGATATGCCACCTTCCAAGAATCCATTGTAAGGAGCCCAAGTCCTTCGCTGGGGAGCTCGCACAGGCTCTCAGCTCCAAGGGGACATTCCCAAAACCTGCTTTTTCTGTTTTAACTATAAGCCTGTACTACGGTCAGACTTTCTTTTTCTGTCAAATCCAAGATATGATGGCTGACTCCCACATGACGGCAAACACTAAACAAATACCTTCTTTCTCTGCAAATCATTTCTATTGCAATGTTCTTTCAGGCGTCTGAACAACTCAGCATACTATCAAGCAGTCCGGATGGTATCTTAAAACATTCATTAGGTTTTGTAAGGTGCTCAGCCACCAAACACTGATCACAAGTGTCCACCTGTGCTAAAATTTAATCAGACTAAGAGTAAGAAACAGAAGGCAAAATCTGTTATTATTTCTCTGACTGAGTCGTGTTATTGATGTTCCCTTAAATCTTAGCATACTAGTAAATTTATTTTACTTAAACAAAGCAATGACTTCAAAAACAAAGTGAAGAAATGTACCTTTTGTAGTCAAATCAGAATCTGTGAGTCCTGAAGAGTGACAAGGAATACCTGCCATAGTATATTGTCAGACCCTCATCTGGACCACAGCAGAGGTCTGCTTCATTTAAGATTTGTCTATGCCAAGCAATATTTTATTCCATTGTTTCCCTTTTTTCCACTTTTATGGCCCTACTAATGTGATTAGTATCTACACCATGGCTCCCATTTCATTAGCAGTTCAGACCCATTCTATCTGTCACAGAAATTATGCTAAAATGTTATTTTACTATGTCATTGTTGAGTTTGAGGTCTACCACTCATCTAGTCTTTGTGTGTGCCCTCTAACACTGCTTGTCATTGCGTTTCCTCTAATTCTTCCTTGCAGCTCTGGAGAAACAATGCTAAGAGAATCTCTTAATATAATATCCTTGAAATAGGCCTGATTAAAAGGTTAGTTTTGGTGGTTTGCAGCTCCAGGGTCCTCTCTCAGGAAATAATATGGTCTAGGTATTCATCTCATATTTGGTAAGCACTCCATACATATATTTTGCCTATGTGTCTGAGTAAATGCCTTAGTCATTCTTCTATTGCTGTACAGGGACACTGTGACCAAGGCAACTCTTACAAAAGAAAGCATTTAACTGGGCTTGCTTACAGATTCAGAAGTTTGGTTCCATGGCAGCTCACAGGCAGATAGAGAACTGGAAAAATAGCTGAGAGTTCTACACCCAGATCTGCAAGCAGCAGGAAAAGAAAGCCATGGGGCCAAACTTCAAAGCTCACACCCACTGGCACACTTTCTCCAACAAGGCCACACCTACTCCAGCAAGGACACACCTCTTAATATGCTACTCCCTGTGATGAAGCGTTCAAATATATGAGCCTATGGGGGGCATTCTTATTCAAAAAGTATATTAATGAAGCCATAAGTGGAAATACACGAATTCTAGAGAAACAAATGATCAACATTTGTTTGATTCATCCCAAAAAGTTCTTCTCCAGGCCACAGTATATTTAACAGAGTATATTCAGGCTAGGAAAGTATTCTCAGAGTACTGAAATAAATTTAAAAAAAGAAAGTCAGTCAGGGATGCTATGAAATAATGTTTGTTATTTTTGTTTTTTGTTTTGTTTTCTGGCAGGGGAAAACTGAAAGGAATCATTACCTTTAGGCCAGCATCATTGGATATGCTCAATGAAGTCCTACAACCAGAAGAAAAAAATCCGCTATCATAAAAGCTTGTATAAAGTAGATATTGACAATAATTGTCAAAGAAAAGAACAACAGATATTCAAACTAACTAGAAAAAAATGTAAATGGAAACAATCGCTCTTATAATAATCTTGGGTATAAATTAATTAAAATTTCAAACTAAAGGACATAGACTGATTGAACAAAAAATTTTAAAATACTCAGCCTAATGCTGTTTGCAAACACTTATATCACCAGTAACACAGAGGCTTAAAGTGGAAGCACTGAAAAAAAAAAACCCACTCTTCTGTGCTAACAGAAGCAAAGGTCAAACCAAACTGTGTGTAGCCACACGATAGACCTTCCTACAATATTCTGCTGTGTGAACCCAGTTGCCACAGAATGCTTTATGCCCATAGGAGTAATGCTGCTACCTGACGAAGGAATGTCTGTGGCAAGATGCCTCCAACCAATCAGCAATCCAGGGACAGTGCAGTAATATCATATTCTGAAACAATATTTGGGTAAGGGTTTTTTTGTATGATAAAATGAGATTTTTGTCCCAAAGAATAAACAGCATAGGAAAAACCCGTAAAATCTTAAAGTCGCAGAAGGTCTGAATAAGTTATACAAGGCTATGAATGATGAGGTTTAAGGGTGATTTATGTTGGAAGATTAAGATTTATATATTTCTAAGGTTATAATAATCTATTCAGGTAAGAAAAACTTTAAGATGTATGTTTAATCAAGATAACTACTTATATATTTGCAAATTTCATTAAGTTTTAACCATTTGGAAAAGCTTAGTCATAATAAAAAACTGTGGTAAGGAATTGTTTGGAGTCATGTTAAATAGAAATGTAATTCATTTACAAAAACAAGATTGAAGAGAGAAACTCATTTATATCTACCATTATATAGTCTTCTGTATAAGTTGTCAAAGTTAAGCCTGAAGAAAACTATTCTTCTTTTTAAAATCTGGATAGTTCACAAAATCTTTCACACTTTCCTCACTGAGAGAGCTAATTGCAGATGGACAGCCTCCACTGAACCATCCATAAAGATTGTACAAATGTCCTTTTCATCAACACTGCAAAATGAGCTGTGTGCTCTACAGATGTTACTAAAGGATACTTCTAGTCTGTTTAATCCTGTGATTGATTCCTAGTATGTTACAGTTTCATTATCACTGTTTAAAAAGGCTACTATTATGCAATATGAAGATAATCATATCTTTTTAAATTTTTTCTCAGGTTCAATAATTGATAAGACAATAAATCCATCTTGTATATACCACTCAGATCACTTCTTACTCGGGACTTCCTAGTCACCAAGAAAGAGGAATGATCAAGAAATTAAAGTTTACAGGAAGCTTAGGTGCTTGATTCTCCAGTCTTTTTTGCAAAACTGTCTTTCCTTGTCTAAACCGTAAACACTCTGTACCATCAGTACTTGTCCTTCAATTGCCATTTCAACTACTCCTTTCTTCATGGGAGAAACTAATCCCATAGCAAACAAGCTCCACAGGTCATGTCAGATGGCTGTTTCTCATATTTAACTCTTTGGACCCCTGGCTGCAGGAAGTTGTGGTGTTAGTGGTGGGTTTGTGGTTTCACAGGAGATGAAAAGGATGTTCAGGTGCTGGCATGAAGATTAAAACATTGTCATGAATCACCATAGTTTCACTAATGAGAGCCACCTTGAAGCATCATGGGAAAAGAAGCACAACACCATCCATAAAGTGGAAAGTATGCCTCATAGGCAACAAGTAACAATAGCTAGTTGAGGATGGAAAAGAAAGAAAAAGAAAAAATAACTTTACACAAGAGGCTGAATACTTCATTCAGGAGCAGGAGGATTAACTATTGTCCCTACGACAGTGTTCTCTGAGATGTTAGCCATCTTTCATTTTCACACTGTACAAGAGATTTGTCAACCATCGGTCTTTATTGTGAGTTCACCTATAATGGCTCTCCATGGTTGCTAAATTGTACTTTCATGTATTATGAAACTGCTATTGGTTCCATTAGATGATGCAAGAATAAATTTTAGATATTTAGCCAAAATTTATGGGAGGCCTTGGGAATAATATCTCTGATCAGATTTTAGAAAATGATCTATGTTTTGGTACTTTTAAAGACCCTACCTTTATATATGTTACACAGATTTTTTTTATTCTAATGCCATTTTAAAAGTAGACTTCTTTTTTTTTCAAAACATTCCAAATGTTTATTAACTGTCAAAAATATAATGTTGCAGAGGGTCCATGGTGTCACCAGTGTGGCTACCAGGAGCAAGCTCAGTGTCAGCATGTGGTCTCCCCCTTACCTGCCCAGTGTATATCCTAAAGTACATGTGCGATCCAGGGTGGTGTCATGAAGTGTAATTTTCTCAGATGCCTGAAGAGTGTCACCTCTGTCACTTGTACCTGCAGATGATTGTATGTCAGTATTGCTGGTAGGCTTGGGCCCAATTCCATCGTCATCATTTGCAGAAGAAAATCCTTCCTGCTTCGCTTCTTCAACAGACCGTGGTGGTCCAACGGACCGTTGGATCGAGGTGGCTTTGGTGGTGGAATGCGACGTGGTCCTTGAAGTCCTCCTGGACCGTTGATGGAACACGGTGA